TTCAATACTGACAAGTGCAGGGTGCTGCACTTGGGCAGTAGTAACCAGCAGCACACTTATAAGATGGGAAACTCCCTTCTTGAGAGCATAGAGGCAGAAAAAGATCTTGGAGTCATTACTGACTCCAAGATGAACATGGGTCAACAATGCGAGGTCACAGCTGGCAGGACTAACCGGACCTTGTCGTGCATCCACAAGTGCATCTTGAGCAGGTCCAAGGAGGTGATCATCCCCCTCTACACGACACTGGTCAGGCCACAGCTGGAGTACTGTGTCCAGTTCTGTGCGCTCCACTTCAGGAGGGATGTGGACAACATTGAGAGGGTCCAGAGGAGGGCCACCCGCATGATCCGGGGACAACAGGGCAGACCCTACAATGAGAGACTGCGGGACCTGAACCTGTTCAGCCTTCACAAGAGAAGGCTGAGGGGTGACCTGGCAACTGTCTATAAACTCACCAGAGGGAACCAGAAGGGTTTGGGGGAGACCTTGTTTCCCCTTGCACCCCCTGGCATAACAAGGAATAACAGCCATAAGTTGTTGGAGAGTAGGTTTAGATTAGACATCTGTAAGAAGTACTTCACAGTGAGGGCACCTAGGATCTGGAACCAACTTCCAAGGGAAGTGGTGCTGGCTCCTACCCTGGGGTTTTTTAAGAAAAGGCTTGATGCCTACCTAGCTAGAGTCATTTGAGCCCAGTTTTTCTCCTGCCCAGGCAGGGGGTCAGACTTGAAGATCTACATGGTCCCTTCCGACCCAACTTCTATGATTCTATGTGCTGTGTAGGGAGAATGAAGTCCTCCTTTCCAGGAGGCATGCACCATTCTGTCACTGCCATCTACTGTGCTGCTATGAGGGAAGGAAAGCAACCCTGGAACTACCTCCACAGCAGATAACAAGGGTCTTTTGTTAAGAAGACACTAGCTTTATAGAGGTTTTCCACTGTAGTTGGAGAAAAGCACTGCTGAGTAGGAGGAAGTATGTAAAATACAAGGAACAAGCCAGACTGGCCACTGCATGCTGAACCCACCAGCAAGGAAACTAAGGGGTGACTGACAACTGACGAAGGGCTGGGTTCCCGCAGTCCCTTACATTTGAAGGCTACTGACTGCTTTATGTACTGAATACTGCTGTTTGAGGCAAAGAAAAAGCCTGCTTCTTGGCCTGCACTGCCAGGGCAAAAATGGAAGTGGTCTTGAGGCCAGCACAAGGCTTTAAGTCACCTACCTGGAGAAGCTCAACTGCTTTTGCGTGCTGTTTCTCACGACACAGCTGGGCTGCCTCAATTAACACAGGGAGCAGGTGCTCAGGGCTTTGTGACTGTAGGCTTCCTGATAGCTTGCGGCACTGGTCTGCCTGAGGGAGACAAGAGCACAGGATTAGGGGGTAGTTAGTGCAACTGTACTACCCCCTCAGAAAGGACAAGGGAGAACATTAAGGTGCAGGCCCTACGGTGCTAGTGCCTAAACAAACACATCATCTGGAAAAGTATCTGCCCAATGGAGCACTGCAGGTTACCATAACACAAATCCTTCCCACACCTTGGTCGTCCCATTAGGCTGCATGCATGTGGACAGGGGGTGAAAGGGGGGGGGGGTGTCATTTATAAGAAATGCACTGATGGGGAGTTGAATTTTGCTAAGCTTTCTGGAAAAAGAAGGGAAGCCTTCTGCAACTGCCCCAGTCCCCTGACAACTTTTCTGTCTAACACTTGCCTTTCCAAGGGCTAAGTTGTTATTTCCTGCACAGGCAGCTGCAGATATTCACTTCTAGCAAAAAGCCATTAGAATTTCATGTCAACAGTCCCTACTAGAAGCTGGTTCAGCATGAAATCCTATAAAGTTGTTAGGTCAGTTTCTGGAGCAGCAGGGGTTGGGGTGATGGGGAGAAGTAGAGGCCACAACGCGGTGAGGTAAATCTGTAGAGCAGGGGTCGGCAACCCCCGGGGCATGCATGCCCCTGCTGCAGCAGCACCAGAAGCAGCTGACACCACCTGCCTACACCACAATTACAGTTACTACCTGTCCCCTCTCTCTCCCCACTTCCCTCTCTCTCTCTCTCTCTTGCCCTATATCCTTGTCTGTCTCTCGCCCTCTTTTCCTCTGTCTCATCCCTTCCTCCTCTCAAAACTATGGCAAAAAATTTGAACTTCCATTTGCAGCAGAACAAAGCTGAGCAGAGTGCAGCGACCAGATAGGCCTATGAGGTCTCGGTGAAAGCAATCCCTGGGGGTCTGGCACAGAACTACTCCCCACAGTCTGTTCCCAGGGCTTTGTCCTGTTGCAACTAACTCGTGTGAGGGCACTGAGCACTTCCCAGGGGAGACTGGCCAACATTCTACTTGAGATGCAGAGTGTGGCCTAATTTTAGCTCCAAGAGCTCTGGGGGACTGTGGGGGATGTTGTTCCCAAGCCCACAGCAAAGCCCCAGCTGACCCAGAAGCCCTCCATGCCCAGATCAAGGCTTGAAAGTAACCAGGCAATCAGGTTTTCCATCATGCTCACCATGCCCAGCCTGGTGCAAGCCTGGGAATGGTTTCCAACGTGCTGATTAGACCTTTGCTGCAAAGCTTCCAAATATTTTGGGCCTTAATAACACAATAAGAAGCAGAAACACTAATAAGCAAATTAGAAGAATGTTCACGCTATGCTAATAAGTATGGCACAGGAGGCCATTTTGCTTGGCACTCCACTACCAGCCATGGAACCCAGGCTGTTCCCAGCAGGCAGCTGGGAGGCTGCAAGCCCTGCTGCAAGCAGCCCAGGCTCTGTGGCTGGTAGCAGCTAGCCAGAGCCTGGGCTGGCTGCTGCCAGGAGGCTGCAAAGGTGCTGCTCCAGGCTCCAGCATCCTGCAGCTCCAAGCAGATGTGGGGGGAGGAGGGGACCCTGAGGCAGCACAGCCCAGAAAAGCCTTGTGCCGCCGCTGGCACTGCCTGTACCCAGCCTGGGTTCTGAGCAGCTGCAGCAGGAAGGCTGCAAACAGCTGCACTGGGTTCCACAGCCCCATCATCAGCTTCATGCTGGCAGCAACTGCATGCGCACCTCCAAGCAGAGAGCAGGTTTGTCCCTACTCTCTGCTTTGAGGCACGCATGCAGTCACCGCCAGCACAGAGCTGATGATAGGGCTCAGGAGCCAAGCGCAGCTGTTTGTAGCCAGCAAGGCTCTGGGGCAGCTGCAGCAAGCAGGCTGCAAACAGCTGCACCAGGCTCCACAGCCCTGGTATCAGCTCCATGCTGGCGGCAACTGCACAGATGCCTCAGAGCACAAAGCGGGTATAAACCTGCTCTCTGCTTCGAGGTGCACATGCAGTTGCCAGCATGGAGCTGATGCTTGGGCTGCGGAGCCTGGTGCAGCTGTTTGTAGCCTGACTGCTGCCTACTGTAGCTGCCCCAGAGCCCAGGCTGGCTACAGATGGGGCTGGCAGCAGCACAGAGCTTTTCTCCACGTTCGGAAGCAGCGGTGCTGGGGGTGGGGCAGACAGCAGTGCCCCCCCCCCCCCCCC